CATGTGTTTGTCTTCTTAGTCCCTGGTCAGTGATTATGGCCAGTTCACTGCTCTTGGCGGGAACTTTTTTGTTTTTTGATAGAGGGTCTTGCTATGTAGCCCTTGCTGGACTCAACTTTGTGGTCTTTTTGTCTCAGCTTCACTAATCATAGAATTATAGGCATGTACCATCATGCCTTGCACTTGGAATTTATTTGAAGAGTCATAAACCAAAGAGGGAATTGGGATAGGTAAGGGGTTTTGGAAATTGTTGGCAATAGAAACTAAGCCCAATATATAAAATTGCTCAGAAGAAAAGACTTTGGGGGAAGAAGGTGGTCTGCAGTTACGAGTATATCCCTTTAATCACCCCATGAGACACATCTTCCAAAACCCAGGCCTTCGGGAGCCCATGCACGAAGAATCTGAGTCACTCCTCTGTGGCTTTTGGAATTCTGTGAATCTTGGTGAATGAATGGGATCAAAAGGGGCCTCAGAATCTCAGTGTGGCAGATTCAAGAGCGACAGAATCTGTCCAATCCAAAGGCAGATTCCTGTTTCCTTGAGGAGCTAAACTTGCCACGTATCTCTAGTTCGCTTTTCATACCCTTGTGGCTATTCCTGAGTGTTCTAGGATTGATATGATGAATTCTTAATCCTTAGAGGGGTAAGCTCTAGAAGCCTTGTTTCACCTGGCATGAGTAAGGACAGAAGCTTCCTGAAAGAGGCAAATCACAGGAGGTAAAACAGTACCTGGTGTTTCATTTGGTGATGCAGATTGAACACATAGACTTGCAACTGTCACTGAATTATATTGCCAAGCAAGGGTGCACTTATTTTGACTTATATTACTTACATAATCGATACTGTTTATGGCCACACGAGAGCTCTGTTACCAGCCACCCATGGGAAGAATCCCATGGAAAGATACTTTTTTAGTGATACATGAAACCATGAAAAGTAGGTTTTGGACTTCTCTCCCAAAGTAGACCTAGGCCACTGTTTGTTTCTTCTGATGTATTCATATTATGCTGTGTTTTGTATGATCAGGGGAGGAAGTTTAAGATGATCCTTTGTCCTTCGGAATAAAACAGGGTAAGGATCATGATATTAATATCTAAGGAAAGTGGCCCTGATCACCTCTGACCATAGTTTGGGTCAGTCTGAGTGACATTTGATAGCTGTGGCTTATGGTTTCAGCTGAGTGGCTTAGAAAATAGGCAGTGTGAAATGGTGGGAGAATTGTCAGAGGTTAGTAGGAAATCTTGGGTTTTAATCCTAAATCTGTCTTAGACTTGCTGTGGAACTTGGAGTTTTCATGTAAGCTTCAAAATTAACTCCAGCTAACTGAAAATTTTGGACTTGGGAGGTACTTAATATTGTCCTTTTGGTTGTTGTAAATATCTGTAAAAATGACAGTTTTGCTTGAGAAAGCTCTGCTTAGAATGCTGTAGTTTGCTTTACTTTTGCTTGCCAGCACTCTCACAACATAGCCAGGGCAACACAGGAGCCCATATCTTCATCATTCATCATTGTTGAGCTACCTTATGTGGAGCATGGCTTATGTGTTTATCTTTGGGCCTCCTTTATCATAGTCTGCCGTTGCAGTGCTGATGTTTTACGCCAGCAAGCCTAAGTATATATCCTGAAATCTTGCCTGCTAGCCAGTTTCTTTCTGTATTGGTGACATCTGTGATAAATAAGCATCTTTTTAAAATTTTTTAATGCCCAGAAGTAAAGGTCAGTAGGTAATTACTAATTGTTTATGGCTTTGGTTCTCAGATTTAGGCATGCCTGTGCATCATAATCACCTGGAGGACTTGTTAAAACACATTATATTCTTGTTAAGCACTTAGTCTCAGAATTTCTGGTGTACTCTATTTGAGGTGGGGCTGGTTTGGTAATTTTTATTTCTGACAAGTTCCCAGGATTGTCCAGGCTGCTCGTTACAGTTTGAGAGGCATCAGTCTGTTCTAAGCTGGGCACCATGTGAGGAGAAACTGGTGTGAGATCTGGTGTATGCCCTTGAAGAGCCTTTCTTCAAATTATGATCCATATATGTGAAGGTAGAACTAATTGGGAAACTCTGAAGACCAGGTGCCAAATGATTCTTAAAAATTAAGAGCAGGAGAAATTTGCCAGTAGCCAGGTAGCCAGGAACCTGTTACTGAACTGTTGCAACTGTTTCATCAATGAGTGCATATTCTAGGCAGGAAAACACTTTGATAAATATATAGAGGTGGAGTCAGGGATGTTGCTCAGTGGTGCAATACTTTGCTGGCATGTGCAAGGTCCTGGGTTCAAACTCCAGCACTGATTTAAAAAAAAAAAAAGTAAACAAAAATATTATACGCAGTTTCAGTGGGTAGCAAATAGCTAGTCATTTAGAGTTGGTATTTGATGCTGGTAAAGAAAAATAGACTTAGAAAATAATTTAGTTCAGAATGTGTTGGACTTTGAATGCTGGAAAAGACAGGTGTTTAGACTTAGTAGAGGGGGCTCACCATTGTCAAGACCCTGTTTCTAGGACTGGAGGAGAGGTGGTATGGGAAGAGAGTGTGTACAGAAAGTGAGTAAATGCTAGGTATGGTGGCATGTGATTGTACTCGCAGCTACTTGGAAGACTGAAGCAGGAAGAAGAGCCCAGGAGTTCTTTTTTTGACAGGAGGCTCGGTAGGTTGGGATGAGGAGGTTTTTTCCTTTTAAGTCCTTGAGTTCTGAGTTAGCTTGGGCAAATTAGTGGCCCTATCTCTCCCTAAAAAGAAAAGAGAGGGAGGGAAAGAGAGAGAGCGAGCAAGTGAGAGAGAGAGAGAGAGTGAGCGACAAAAGAAGAAAAAATAGCCAGGTATAGTGGCTCACAAAACAAACAAACAAACAAACAAACAAACAAATGCAGGTGGTAACCAGGTCTTAGCTTCCTTGTTGTATCCTGATCCCATGTCTCAGGGGTTTTTAATAGGGGAGAAAACTGAACTATGTTTACCAGAGGTTAAACCATTACATCAGTGGTTCACTGGTAATCTTGACAAGATTAATTATGATTCTTTTTTAAAAATTCTTGGGGCAGAAAAAAAGATTAAAGAAAAGAGAGCACAGATTAGTTCTAAAATGCAAATGTTTGCTTTTTTTTAAAATTGGTACCCAGGATCTAACTCATGACTGCCTGCTCGCAAGGCAGGTGCTTATGCCGCTGAGCCAAATCCCCAGCCCCTAAAAATGTAAATGTTTGAAAGCTTTGGTTTGGGTACAACTAATGAGACCTTTTGGAAGATTATTTGGGGTGGGGTATATAGCACAGTGGTAGAGCTCAGGTTTAGCATAAGTGAGGCCCTGGGGAGGGGAGGGGGTAGAGAAGGGTTGGGGAGATTAGGATTCTGGCTTCAGTGTTTTTGAGCAGAGTGTGATGATCCTTATTGAATAATTTCTTGTAGTAAGGAAAAAACTGACAATATGGCAGGCAGTGTTTAGTATTTGATGGCCTCTATTTTAAAACATTATAACATACAGATTATCCTTTTCAATTTTGAGGTTAAATAGAACTTTAGGAAATGATGCCTTTACCAGAACTTTTTTTTTTTGTACTGGGGATTGAATTCATGACCTTGTGCTTGCCAGGAAGGCACTTATGCCACTGAGCTAAATCCCCAGCCCTACCAGAACTTTTAAAATTTAAAATGTATTATTTCTCCCACCAGATATAGTGGTACACTCTGTAATCCCAGAACCCACAGAGCCTGAGTCAGGATCACAAACTCAAGTTCAACTGGGCAATTTAGGGATTTAATGAGACCCTTTAAAAAAAAAACAGAAAAGGAAAAGAGAAACGAAAGAAAAAGAAAAAGGCCACCCCAGGAGCTATTCTCTTTTCCTTATTTCTAATAAACCTTTCCAAAAACAAATTTAAAAGAGAGAGAGAGAGAGAGAGAGAAAGAGAGAGAGAGAGAGAGAGAAATGGATATTACTGCCTTGAAATTCAGAAGATAAAGATTACATATAAAAAGTTAGCGACTGACCAGAGAAGAGAGAAATAAGCATGCATATTCCTCACGTTTCTTTTCTCTTTGGAGAGAGAATATCACTGTGGAGTTCAAACTGGCCCTGAACTCATCATGTATCCCAGGGTGGCCTCAAACTCAAGGTGATCTTTCTGCCTTAGCCTCCTAAGTGCTGGGATTATAAGTGTGCACCACTATGCCCAGCTTTTTTGATTTTTTTGAGACAAGATCTTCCTTTGTACTCCGATCTGTTCTCCTGTGCAGCTCAGGGTGACCTTGAATTTTAGTAGTCTTCCTGCTTCAGCCTTCCCATTGCTTGGATTATAGGCATGTGCTACCATGCCTGAGTTTTTATAACAATTTTAGTTGTTTTACAATATTGTACTTTGATCTTGACTTCAATGAAATGCAAATTATTTTTAATTTTAACGATCCATCATACAGTTTTTTTGGATACTTTTTTGAGTTACATATGTAAAAGATAAACTGTCATCTAGACTAAGAAATTAAAACAGGGCTGGGGATGTAGTTTACCAGTACAGCACTTACCTAACAAGTACAAGGACCTGGGTTTGATTCCTGGTACAAATAAATAAATGAATAAATAAAAGTAAAAAGAAATTAAGGCAAACATAAATGTTACCTTAGGCATACAATGACCAAATGTGATTTTTTTTTGTGGGGGAGTGTCTAGTGTCAGACTGAGTACCTCACACATGCTTAGCAAGTACTACTACTCTGTTAACATCCCAGCCCTGGATATGTTTCTTAAAACAATTTTTTAAAACTGATGTGTGTGTGTGTGTGTGTGTGTGTGTGTGTGTATAAGTTTATTTATATATTTATAATCAGTATATATATGTATAATATATATATGTGTGTATATATCTATCTATCTATATATCTATCTATATCTATATATATATATATAAAATGTGGTAAGATCTTCCTTGTCTTTATGCTTTGAAAAGTTGCTGCTTTCATGAAACTATGAGCTAAAAATCATGATGTCTTCTTGAATTTTAGGTACTTACACTGTGAAATTTTATGATGGAGTAGTTCAGACTGTTAAACATATTCATGTCAAAGCTTTTTCCAAAGATCAGGTGAGAAATATGGCTTTTTGCTTTTGTGTTATGAATAATGCTAACATTGTACTTTTTTATTTCTCTTGAATAAAGACATTGTATTTATGATGGAAAGTCTTTATTTCCTGCATATGATATAGTTTCACTAGGAATTCAAAAGTTACAAATATTTGTCTCCTTGCATCATTTCTTTTTAATACAGAATGTTTTTTATTTTTAATCTCGAGTGCTTGGATAACATTGCATGTTACCTGTTTTCTTCATCTTTTCTTAAAAAGTATTTGGTTACTTGTGTCCCCCTTCTCCCCCCGCCCCTGTCCCCAGAACTGTTACCAATCACATGGAATTTGTTAAAACACTGGAGAAAACTTGGAGCACATTTTTTTCCTCATGACCATTACTTAGTGGTTTGCCATGGATTTGGTATCCACTTACGCTAAATGTGCCTGGTTTGAGAATCTTATGTCCTGTTCACATTGTAAGCAAGTATTTGCCTGAGCATTGGGCCTGAGTTTTTAATACTCAAAGTACTGTTTATCCAGATCTGAGTTCTCTACACGTTACATACTTTCCTCATGACTTTTCCCCTTTAGTTTTTTTCTTACTCATATTTTAGTGAAATAGTTAAAGAGAAAATAGAGATCAGAATTTGGATATTAATGTTTTTAAAAACTGGTTGTTAGACTTAGCTGTTGGTATAAGATAAAATTAAGAATAAAAGATTCAATAAAAGGTTTTATTAAAACAAGTTAAAGATTTTATTGCCAGGTGTGGGCATGTGCTTGTAATCCTTCTTCAGAAGGCTGAGGCAGGAAGATCACTGAGAGTTGAAGGTCAGCCTGGGCTACGTTGTGAGTTCAGGACCAGCCTGAGCTATAGAGAGACCCTGTCTCAAAAAAAAAAAAGGGTTTATTATTGAGATGCCATAAGTTGGATTTCCTGTTGGATGGTAGTTTATGGGGACAACATCTTGTGATTTCATGACTTGTGTTTTACCCTGTGATGATCAAATGCTTCTGATCACATTTTCATAAATTCTTCCGTACTTACATTGAGGATTGAGATATACTTTAAAGGTAGCCTCAAGAGTGTTCTTGCCCTTTCCTGATTTTTCCCTTAAGAAAACTTACAAAATTACAAAGCGTTAGCCCTGATTATATTTTCTTTTTGTCTCTCAGGCATATGGGCAGACACATTGCACAAGGTTATTTTGGCCTTAAATTTGACATTTTTGTATTACATTTGTGGGATGAGTCAAATTTGCCCACACTGGAAGACTGGATCTAACATTCTCATAGAGAAAGCCAGAGTTTCAGATAAGAAAAAGTCAATAAATTGATTGATAGCACTTTGGCTAGGAGTGAATACTTGACTAGTTGAGGATTTGTGGGTGCTCACTTTTTAATTACCAGTGGATGTGTCTCACCTTATCTCATTCCTGGCTGATTGTCAAGCATAGACCTGGGTCAGTTAGACTTTTTTTTTTTTTAAATTGGTGGAGACTGATCCCAGAGACTTCGTATTGAGTTAATCCCTTTTTTAGTTTTGAGATAGGGCCTTATTAAATATGCTAGCTGAATTTCCCGGGCTGGCAGCAACTTGTAACTCTCCTGCCTCAACCTCCCATAGTGCTTAGATTGTAGTATTCATCACCACAACTTGCTTGGACTTTTTTTTTTGTACTGGGGATTGAACTCTTGACCCTGCGCTTATCAAGCAGGTGCTTGTGCCACTGAGCTAAATCCCCAGTCCCAATTTTTTTTTTTTTTTTTTTGGTATTGGGGATTGAACTCACAACCTTGCGCTTGCCAGGCGGATGCTTACTGCACTGAGCCAAATCCCTGGCTGTGGACTTGTTTTTTCAAGAGCACGTATAATGGTTTGACTAAAGATAGTTTTCATGGCAGTTTTAAAGTTCATACACACATACACACACACACGAGGGGAGGGAAGAAAGTAAGGAGGGAAGGAACGAGGTAGAGAATTAGAATAGAGTAAATTTTTTTCTGTAGAATGACTTTGCCTTAAATGTTTTTCTTTTCTTTTTTGGGGGAGGGGTGGTACTGGGAATCAAACTCAAGACCTCACTTGCCAGGCAGACACTGTGCCACTGAGCTATAGCCCTGGCCCACCCTAATTGTTTTGATGATCTATACTTCAGAAAGTTATTTTTGAACTTAAAAAAAAAAAATAGTACGTTTGCTGAAGGAAACTGAAAAGCATTAAAAAAGACAGAATAAGAACTATATAGTGTGGTGCATACCTGTAGTCCCAGCACTCAGGAGGCTGAGACAGGAGGATTGTTGCAATTTGAGATCAGCTTGGGCTAAAAAGGGAGCTCAAGTCCTTCCTGAATTTCACAGCAAGACTCTGTCTCAAAACCACCCCCCCCAAAAAAACCAAAACAAAGAACTGTATAGTCCTAATACCTAGTGTAATTTCACTTAATATTTGGTTGAATATCTTTCTGTATTTTTTGTTATAAACATTGTGTGGGTATATGTATTTGTTTCTTTTCAAAACTGGAGTCATGTGGTATATTACTGTTCTATAACTTTTTTCTCTTAGCAAAATATTTTCCCAAGTTCTTAGTATTCCCAGGGACATAACTTTCAATAATTATGTAATATTCTGCAATATGTATATAACTACCCTTTGTATAACCAGTCCTAAATGGTCATAAAGGATATTTGTAAATATAGAGGAAGACTCTGGTCATTCTCTTAACAAATTCTAAGAATTGTAATTCAAAGGTATAAGCCTTTTTTCTTTTTGAGACAAGGTCTCACTACATAGCTCAGAACTCACAGCCATCCTTTTGCCTCTGACTCCTGAGTATTGGGATTATAGGCAAAAATATAAACTTTTAGGTCTTTGGCCTGAATTGCCAATACACTCTCTTCTGGAAGGGAAACTGCAAGATTGATTGATTGATTGATTTGCAGCACTGGAGGTTGAACTTGGGGTCTTCTCATTGCATCACAAGTACCCCTGCCTTTCTCCTTCTTCTTCTTTTTTTTTTTTTAATCAGTACCGAGGATTGAACTCAATGACCATGTGCTTGCAAGGCAGGCGCTTATGCTGCTGAGCTGAATCCCCAGCCCCTTTACCTTTCTTCTTTTTGAGATAGTGTGTCACTAAATTGCCCAGGCTAGGCTCAAATGTTCAATCTTTTTGACTCATCTTTCCAGAGTGCTGAGACTACAAGTGTGCACTGCCACCCCAGTTGCTGTTTATATTTCTGCCAGTGGCTCCTGAGAGTGTCTTTTTTTTTTCCAGAATAATTTTTGTGACTTCACAAAATATTTTCTTGCTTGTTGCTTTTCTTTATGGGACAAATTAGGCTTTCATTTGCTTAGTAAGTATTAAGGTACTATTTCCTGTTTCCAGTAAAATCTGTGTGGTTGGTATATGCTAGCAGCTGAGGATCCTGTGTGAACATGATCTCTGCTTTCTCTTAGATCTCTGAAGAGAGATACATATACAAGTAAACTGCATTATACTTTCAGAAATTTTCAGAGCTTTCAAAACTGGCTTATTCTTAGATCTACTAGTATGCAAGAATTTTTTTTTTTTTTTTTTTTTTTGTCTTTTTCTTTTTTATTGGTACTGGAGATCGAACCCACGACTGCCTGCTTGCAAGGCAGGAGCTTATGCCGCTGAGCTAAATCCCCAGCCCCTATGCAAGAGTTTTAGGATGTATTTTAAAATAACTTAGGAACATGGTAGCCAACAAACAGTACTTCCTTTGAATGAATAAAACTCAGGAGTGCCTCAGGAACTTGTACTGAGCACAGCTTTTAACTGTGGTTCTTGGTTAGGTGATTTTTATTTATTTATTTTTTTGAGACAAGGTCTTGCTATGTAATCCAGACTGGCCTTGAACTTGAGATCCAGCTACATCAGCTTCCTGAGTGCTGAGATTACAGGGATATGCCAGCTGGGGTAGGCAATCTTAATAATTTTCCTATTCAACCTTCATTTACCAGTTTAGGTTTTTCTTTACACAAAAACTGAACATCAGCATTCACTGGACAACTGAGCTGGGCTTTTGAAAAGCCCTTGATCAGGGCCAGGGATTTAGCTCAGTGGCATCAGTGCCTGCCTGGTGAGTACTAGGTCGTGAGTTCGATTCCCGCTACCTCCCCCGACACATTTTCTTAGAACATATGTGTCAGAAAGAGTGCTTTCAGAAAAGGATCTTGGGTAGTTGTTTGTCCTTTTAACTGTTGTCTAATGATTTGTTCATCATCATAAGGGGGATTGCTCTTTCTCATAAGGAATTGAACATGGCAGTTGGTCTCTTTCAGTTTAGGATTGACTTCCAAACCTAAGAGTACAGGAGGATATTTTCAGTGATGTTTTCCATTATGTGACCTGGCACATGTCCTCTTAATTTCTACATTTACTTCCATAAATTTGCAAAGCGCCTCCTAATTTTATATCTGCAAGTAATCACAAAGTTTGTTTCATCGCTATTTTGCTCATTTTAGAATATTGTGGGTAATGCTAGGCCTAAAGAAACAGAACACAAAAGTCTGTCATCATCTCCTGATAAACGAGAGAAGTTTAAAGAGCAGAGAAAAGCCACAGTCAATGTGAAGAAAGACAAAGAGGATAAAGCCTTAAAGACAGAAAAGCGACCCAAGCAGCCTGACAAAGAAGGAAAGTTAATCTGTTCCGAAAAAGGAAAGGTGTCCGAGAAAAACCTTCCCAAGAACGAGAAGGAAGATAAGGAGAACATTTCAGAGAATGACAGGGAATACTCTGGAGACACCCAAGTGGATAAGAAACCTGAAAACGACATTGTGAAGAGTCCACAAGAGAACTTGAGGGAGCCAAAAAGAAAACGAGGCAGACCCCCTTCCATAGCTCCTACTGGTGAGTTTCCCAAGTGGGCTCTGCAGTGGGCAGTGCCAGGGTGGTGGTCTGTGACCTTTGTCAGTGCTTTGTATCTTCTGTACTCTCGTCTTCTGTGTGTGTGAGTTTGTCTTGTGATTTGAAACTGTTGTGGTAGAAGGATGTATCCAGGTAAGCATATTGGGGAGCTGATCTTCTGGGGTGGTGGTTAACTATCCATATACACTTCAGCTTAAGTGACCATGCTCAGTGACCTCAGGCCTTTTGCTTGTGCCTATTCAGATGACCTCAGTTTAAGAAAGCCTGAGGTTAGGAAGTAGAGAACCTGGGTTAGAAAGTAGAGTTTTAGTGAGACAGACATGAAACAGGAAAGAAGAAAATAGTTGTAGGCAAGGCACTAATAGTTGTAGCTTAGTGGTAGAGTGTGTGCTAAAAGCGTGAAGTCTAGGGCTCAATCCTGAGAACCCAAAAGAAAAAACAGAAAATGTGGTCATCAGAAGCCAGGCCCAGAACACTGGAGCTGAAGAAGCACAGATGTGTTTTGAAATTGAGCTTTCTAATTAGGTGTGATAGTGCACACCTGTAATCCTAGCGTTTTGGGAGGCTGTGGTAGGGTGATGGCAAGTTCCAGCTCAGCCTGGGCAATTTAGTGAGTTAGCAAGACCCTGTCTCAACATTAAACTTTTTTTTTTTTAAAGGGGGGGGGGAGTTTGAAGCTAGCTTAGGCTACACATCGTGAGTTCAAGGCCAGCATAAACTAAAATGTGAGACCCCCCCCATCTCAAGGAAAAGAAAAAAAATTGTGTATTAGGTTATTGTTCCCTGATGATACAAAACACAGAACCAGTCTTCCTCCTCAAACTACAGTGCTACATCAGACTTAATTTATGTGGGGAAAAGTCTGCTTTAAGAACCTTAATATAACTGGGTGTCATATTGCATGTCTATAATCCCAGCACTTGGGAAGCTGAGGCAGGAAGATCATTGTGAGTTTTAGACCAGCCTGAGCTACAAAATGAGCTCAGGAGCAGCCTGAACTGCATAGGGAGACCCTGTCTCAAAAAGACCAAACCAAACTAAACGAAACAAAGTAAAGCAAGACAACCTTAATATATTGAGTTATTATATTTCAGTGCTGGGGATCAAGCCCAGTGCCTCACAGTGCTATTCAAAAACACTAACACTGACCTGTATCTCTAGATCCAATTTATTTCAAGCAAATCTGTTTAGGACCTCCTCCCAATAAATAGCTTACTTCCATCTGAGTTATAATTTTAGAGAAAAGTAAACAGCAGATTGATTGGTCCCCGGGTGAAATGAGAGACTTTCTCTTTCAGTGATTATACCTCAGTGCTCAGTGATTTGCCTCCTGGAGCTGAGCATGTTGGACTCATCCCTAGATCTAAATAAGGCCTAGTTCTTTGCTACCATGGCAATTACTATCTGTGGCTATAGAATATTTGAAATTGGATTGTCTGAATTGACAAGGGCTATAAGTGTAAAATAAACATATGTATTTCAGATACTTAGTACCAAAAAATCCCCCACCTCCTTTATTTTCTGTTTTGGGGGTTGAGCCTGGGGCCTTGTGCATGTTAGGCAAGCATTCTGTCATTGAACTATCCTCCAGCCCCTAATAATTTTTTTACAGTGACTACATGTTAAAATGTTTTTAGATGTATTCACTTAAGTTATACATTTTTGTTTTCTTTTCTTTTTGTTTTTAGACAGGGTCTCATTATGTAGTTTAGGATGGCCTTAAAGTATGTAACCCAAGATGTCCTTGGACTTCTGTTTCAGCCTCGGTTAGTATGAGATTATAGGTGAGCAACACCAGACTAGCATAGTTTAAATAATTTGTATTCTTAAAACCCCTTCCTCCCTCCATCCTTCCTGTTCCCTCCCCTCCCTTTCCTTCTTCCCCCTTTTTCCCTCCCTCCATCCTAAATGGTACTGCAGATTGAACTCAGGGCCTTCACATTGAGCTGCATCCCAGCCTTTTTGTATTTTTTGGACACCAGATCTTGCTCAGTTGCTTAGGGTTGGTTCAGAGTTGTGATCCTCCTATCTCAGCATCCCCGAGTGCTGACATTACAGATGCACACCGGGATAATTGGCTAACTTCTTAATATGGCTCCTGAAGGTTTTTTAAAGTACATGTGGTTTGCATTTGTGGTTTTCATTGTCTATGTCTTTCTCTTTAATTTTTTTTTTTTTTATTGTCTTTTTGAGACAGGGTCTTACTGTGCAGTTCAGGGTGGCCTTGAGCTCACTTTGTAGCCCAGGCTGGTCTTGAACTTGCAAGGATCCTCCTGTCTGAGCCTCTTTCAGTGCTGGGATTGCAGGCATGCACTACCACACCTGGCTGTCTTTTTAATTTTTTGAGACAGAGTTTTTACTGTGTAGGTCAGACTGGCCTTGAAATCACTAGGTAGCTCAAGCTGGTGTTAAACTCAAGGCAATCCTCCTGCCTCAGCCTCCTGAATGCTGAGACTATAGGCATATATCACCATGCCTGGTCTGTCACTGTATTTTTTATGGGATAGCATTGACCTTAAATTTAACTGTGTTCTGCTGGACATGTAGCTCAGTAATAAAATCCTTGTCTACCTTGCATGAAACTCTGAGTTCAGTTCCCAGCAATGGAAAACAAATCCTTTTTTAAAGTTGCCTTCTTGAAAGGTTACTGGGAGAGAAGTCTTAATGCCCAAAGCATTCATAATCTGTGACTAAAGGGATTCTGTACACTGAAGTGTTACTAACTGTATGCCACTCCTAGAGAAACTGAAAAAATAATCTCTATTGTGTATTCAGATAAAGAACCTAAATTGAGAAAGTCTAGAGGTGTTTTTTTTTTTTTTGGTACCAGGATTGAACTCATGACCTTGCGCTTGTCTGGCAGGTGCCTATACAAGAAAGTCTAGAGATTTTAAGCCTGTGGTGGTGCTCCATATCATAGGATAAGTGAAGAGAGACCTTTTTATGTCAAGTGGGAAAAGGGCAGTTGTACAGGAGAGATGGAAAATGTGAGCTGCTTGAAATCTGACAAGTTATCAGCTCCATTTAGAAAATAGTGTATGTGAGACTTGAGTGTTCTGAAAGTGATTCCTCTTTAACTGTTCATGCTCTGGATTGTACTCTGGGAAATGTATATTAAGTAGTTATACCCAGTTTGCAGACTCCCTCTAAGATGTCATGTAACTTCACTGAGATAAGAAAACAAGCATTCTCTTTATTGTTTTTATTTTATGAATGCCAGATGGAATTTAATAAAGAAAGGAATTTTCCAAGTTCACTGTTAACCCTTACCTGAAGCATTTGTCAAAATAATTCTGTGTGTCAGTCCTCCCCAGTCAGAATCTCTACATTTGCATCAAGGAATGCAAGTTGTTAACAACCTTCCCAGAAAAAAGTTTGAGAAATGCTTAAGTTCTGTGTAGTGAGTACTCATTTGTATATCTTATCAAAAGGAAGAAGCCTTGCCGGATGTCTCATACGCAGTTGACCTGTCCTTTAAAAAAATTGCTTGGAAGAAGTTCAGTGATGTAGAGACTTGAATTTCCTGACTTGGTTGGGAACAGAATCTGAACTGTTTAGAGAGGGTTGTTTGTATTTGTGTTTAGCTTATAATGTGTGTGATCCAAGTTCCCACTGCTTGGAACAGAACAACAGCATGTTGGGAAGATCGAATACAGAAAAAGCTGGGCGTGAAGGTGGCCTCCTTGGAGCTCAGCCTTGTCTCTTTATCAGCCCTTTGATGGCTGACTTGAAACTACTATTGAGTTTTCCTCGCTTTCTTTTCTCCTCTTCTGTTTCCTTTCCCTTCCCCCGTCTACTTTCTTTTCTCCCCCTTTCTTCACTCCGTTGTCTGTTTTCAGGCCCCTTACCCCTGACTTCCGGCCAAGATCCCCGATTTCTTTTTTTTCATATTCTGCTTTTCAAATTCTCATTTTCTCAAAACTAGGGGAGAACCTCCACATTTTTAGGTTTAAAAGTAGAGTGCTAACAATCTTGAAGGGCTTATTGTCTTTATTGCTAACTTATGTGAAGTGTGGATCTGCTAGGACCATCAGCATTGTTGAAAACATTGACTGTGCATAGCAGTGTCCTGAGATTGGAGGTTTTTTGGTGATGGTGGTAGGTGGTAGTTATGGAATTGAACCTAGGACCTTTGCTTAGGGACATATTCCCACAGTTTTTAAAAAATTTTGAGACAAGATCTCCATAAGTTTCTAAATTGACCAGGCGAGGCTTGCGTTTGTCATTCTCCTCCCTTTTCCTTTTAGAGTGCTGGAATCACAGGCATGCGCCACCACCGCAAGCTTCTGGGATTGTTTTTAAAGAGAGTATAAATATTGACATTCTTTTTTTGACCCTCAGAATTAAAGCCAGTGATGGCTAATTTAGGAGTAGACACTAAAAACAGTAATCAAGCCTTACTTCTGTGATACACATTTTTAGAATTAGCCTGCATGGTGAATTTTTTGAGTATTTGATAGGACGTGTGTGTGTGTGTGTCTATCTATCTGCCTCTCTGTCTCTCTCTGTCTATCTGTCTCTGTCTCTCCTTGCCTGCCTCCAACCCATTCTTGGTTCCTTTTTCTTCTGGATAGGTGAGTTGGAGGAATTTGATGGTGATAAAATTTTGCCCAGGCTCTTGTTTTTTGTTTTGTTTTTTGAGAGAGGGTCTCTCTGTGTGGTTCAGTGGTTGAACTCACTGTATAGCCTAGGCTACCTCAAACTAACAGCAATCCTCCTGCCTTAGATTCTATGAGTGTTGGGATTACAGGCATGTGCCAAAATGCCTGGCACATTTTCATGTTTTTATGCAGGTTATGGTGGGGATGGTGCTTTATTTTTATTTTTTATTTTTTGTCTTTTTGAGACAGGGTCTCACTATGCAGTTCAGGCCAGCCTCGAGCTCACTTTGTAGCCCAGGCTGGTCTCGAACTCACAATGATCCTCCTGCCTCAGCCTCCCGAGCACTGGGATTACAGACGTGAGCCACCACGCCCAGTGGGTATAGTGCTTTAAAGATAGGGTTTTAGAAGAGCCTGGTCATAAGAGACACCACAGAAAGACCCAGCAGGTCAGTCTTACAAGGTGTTAGCAGTTCCTAAAGGAAGTACTTTCTCACTCATTTCTTTTTTTTTTAACCTTGAGAATGCCCTTCTCTTTAAAAGCACCATTTTTAAAGTCTGAGAATGCTGCATCTATAATTTAATATAGATATAACTTGTATATAAAGTGCAAGTCCAGACACTAAGAAATTACATACTTATTGTATGGTTTTGTGTATGTTGTAGCAGTGGATTCAAATTCTCAAACGTTACAACCAATAACACTGGAACTGAGGAGACGGAAAATATCAAAAGGAAGTGACATCCCATTAAAACGTCCTCGACTTGACAAAAATTCATGTGAGTCTCCAGTTTGTGCACATGTGGCTGGAATTTGACATTGTTCTCTCCTGTCTATTCGTGTAGGCCCTAATGATTGATTACAAGAGCTAATGTGAGTAGAACATGCTTGAATTAGGAGTTATTTCTAGAAGAAATAGAAGCTTAATTAGTGCTGGGCTCAGTGCTTTCCTATCCATTTCCACAAACTGTTTGATTTGGAAATTCAGTGGTTCAGGAAGGGATAAATTTCATATGTTGAGAGAAACTTAAAAATGCTATTTATTGATTAGAAAAATCCCCTGGTGCCTTCAAAGAGGATTTTTAAAGAGTTGTGTGAAATTTAATTGGACTTTGGAAGTTAACATGTAGACTTTCATGTTGGGAAGCTACAAAATAGAACTTAGTTGTCAAGATAGAGACATATTTTCATGCCATGAGTCTTCAGTTATACAAAATTTTGTCCTAGTAGAGATAGTGTGTTAGTTATCTTTCTCTAGGAGAAAGTACAAAATATCTGATCCTCAAAATGGAAGAAGGAAAGGTTTATTTAGGTCTCTGTGGAGGTTTTAGTCCATGATCCGCTGGCTCCAAGCCAGGGTGGCATGGCACTGGGGCAACACTTAAAAGGCAGCAGCCGGAAAAAGCAGCAACCAGAGCAAAATGGGGAGAACAAACCTCTCTTCCTCCCTTGTATTGTAAGCATGCTACCCATGTGCCTCCCACACCTGCTCACCAGAGCTAGTGTAGCATTCACCCCTCTGTGTCCTGGGATCCTGGCTCCCTTTTGAGTCTTTTGGTTATAAAATTTCTAAGCTTCCACGTTGATGCAGTGTATCAACCATAACAGAGAGTTTTGTCTGTGTAAAACTACCAAGTAGGAAAGGATATTAATGTAACATTCCAGACCTGTCTCTATAAAATTCTTATAGAGGCAACTCCCATCAATTATTTACTAGTGGCAGAATTATTTGTTAGTCTCTGAACTACAATTTTCTTAATGGTTTCTAGCCCAGGAAAAGTCAAAAACCTGCTCTGAAAAAGACTTAGCCAGGAGACGGTCTTCTAGGCTATCCACTAATGGGACCCATGAGGTCCTAGATCCTGATTTGGTTGTACCAGATTTGGTTGATACAGTTGATGCAGATCCTCTACAAGACACATCAGCTAGTACAAAGGAATCCAAAGAAGGTGAGTCTGATCTGTTCTGGAATTGTTTTCCCAACCTGTTGCTTGTCTAGTGAGAAATTGAGAACCAATCAAGTCATTATGTGTTGGCTTCCAGAAGTATTAAACTGTGTTGAAATCAAATTATTGAACGGTCCCCAGCATTCATGTAATACTTTGTTTTTCACTGAATATTTGATATACTTTCTGAATGCATTTGTGCTCAGGTTTGCTTACTTTGTGCAGGTTGTGTTGAAGGTACATTGCTTCAAGAACCTGGTTTTTGTGTTGTCATCTCATTCCATGCTTTTTTTTTTTAATTGTCATTTCTAGGAATTTCCCTTTTCATTGTGTCCTCCTTTGAGATATTCACAGCCCTGGCTATATGTTCAGGAACCTGTGAGTGTAGTCTTATATATTGTTAAATGAATAGCTTCCTCTAATAGGTTCCTGACTTTAGTCTATTATTGGGTTTTTGGTTTCCAGATTTATATGTGTGTATATACTCTCTACCTCTTTTTTTTTCTTCTAGATCAGTTGAAATCTCCTTTGGAAGCTGGCCAGGTCTCATCTGTGCTAACGTGCCACTCCTTTGGGGATGGATTAGGGGCTGCAGGCTTGGAGTTGAACTGCCAGTCAATGGGAGAAAACACTATGAAAACTGAACCAGCATCTCCTCTTGTAGAGTTAAAAGGGATTTCGACTGTGGAAGGTTCATATTTAGCGTTTACTATATCTGTTTGTCTATCTACCTATCTAGCTACTTATCTTATGTTTTTGCTTTAATCTAAAAGAAAATACTTTTCTAGTGACTTTTTAGCTTTTTATTAGTCTCTTAATTTAAAAATTATTTTTAATTAATTAATTTTGAAATCCTGGGGTTTGAACTCATAGCTTTCACAGTGAGCTGTATTCTTAATCCCTTTTTTAATATTTTGAGACAAGGTTTAATTAAGTTGTTTCCCAAAGTGGGGTCAAACTTGTGACTTTCCTCTTTCAGCCTCCCAGAGTGCTAGAGCGAGCCACCATGCCCAGCTAATCCCTTATTAATGCTATTCCCTTTTCTTTTCTGATTTGGGTGATTTGTGTTCATGTTCTTTTTTAGTTACTATCAGTTTGGTTGATAATTTCAAAGAACTAAACTTTTATTTGAATTTTCTCTATTACTTGTTTTTTATGGTGGATACCCCTGTAATCTCAGAACTCTGAGAGGCTGAAATAGGCAGATTGCACCGTTAAGCCCAGCCTTGGCAGTTCATCAGTTTAGTAAGACCCTATCTCAAAATAAAAAACTAAAGAACAGGCTGGGTATATAGCTCAGTGTGAAAACTCTGGGTTAAATATCCGGCAAAACTCTCCTCCCTCATTGTGGGTTTGTTTTGACTTTTAAAGTTTTTTTGGCCCCTTAGCTCAGCAGTTTTAGATCTTTTATACTTTCTAGTATAAGCATTTATGGTTCTAAATTTCCTGTGAAGCACTATTTTAGCTACATCTTGCAGATTTTGCTCAGTTGCATTTTTTATCTTTTTTTGTTGGTTTTTTTTGGGGAGGGGGATGTCCTGGAATGGAACTCAGGCCCTTGCATATGCTAAGCATACATTTTACCACTGAGCTATATTCCTTGGTAATATGTTGCATTTCTCATTTTGATTCAGTTCAAAGTATCTTCATTTATGTGTTGACTATGAATTATTTAAAAAATGTTTCATTTTAGTTATGTTTATTATTATATGTTTGCAGTACATATCATATTCATTCTGGTGAGCTAGGACGTATACATTTTTTAAAAATCCTGTCCTTTTTTATTTGTATGAGAAATTTTTATAGCCATTTTATTATAACTGGTTTCTGGTGCAGTTTCTTTGTGGTCTAAGAACATACTTTGTGGTTCAGCCTCTGTGAATTTCTTGAGACTTGCAACATTTAATGTAAACTACTTATATCTTGATGAATCTTCCTTTTGTACCTGAAAAAAATGTGTTCTACCATTTAGTGTGTTTGTTCATTATCTGTCACCTATGCCCTAAGTAGTTGATGAGGTTTTTCAGATAATTATTTCCATGGATTTTTTTGTTTTTCTGGTCCAGTTATTTCAGAAGTCAGTCAAATACTTAATGATTCTGTTGTGCTTTTTATTTATTTTTGGTGATGCTGAGATTGAACCAAGGGCTTATGGCACATTAGGTAAACACTTTCTAATGAAGCACATTTCAGCCCAGTGATTCTGTATTTTAACACTGACATCCTGAAGACTATTAATATTACCCATCATGAGATCTGTACTTTATACTAAATTGAAATCTTAATTTATATATTTTAAGAGTATATTGTTGTTGGTTTCTTTTTTGGGGGGGGGTGATACTAGGGATTGAACCCAGGGCTTTCACACTGAGTTCTGTGCTTGGCTTGTTTTAATTTTTGAGAGTGGATCTTGTTAAGTAGTTATGTTGCCCAGGCAGGGCATGGACCTTTTTCTTCCTGCCTCAACCTCTCAAGTGCTGGGATACAGGCGTGTTCCTCTACTCTCAGAAAGAGTATAAATTTTAAATTCTTATTCCAAAGAAAGAAAAGAAAAAGGAAAAGAAAACAGAAAGAAAGAAATGTGTATATGTATTTAAAAAATATTTTTTTTTTTTGAGACAGGCTCTCACTGTGTACTTTAGGCTGGCCTTGAACTCACTGTATAGTTCAGGCTGGCTTTGGACTTGCAGTGATTCTCCTGCCTCAGCTTCCTTACTGTGGGGATTGCACGCATGTACCACGATGCCTGGCTGGTGTAGCTCAATGTTAATAGTGCTTGTATGGCATTGTGCAGAGTCTTCGTTTCAATACCCATTGTTTCAATCAAGAGTTTCATGTCATTGAAATAGTTTTGTTTTTCATGGATTTATGACTTGTGTACCATATTAACTATATGTTTACAGAATTTCATACCTTTCTTGGGATTACTGCAATTTTGGTGGGGGTCGTTTAATTAATTTTTTCATCTTGGCCAGAGGCTAAGTAGTTAACATAAATGTTGTAGGAGAGCAGCCATTTGAAAACTGGAGTCTTCTTCCAGCTTGTCTCTACATTCAGTTGTTAGAACGAAACCAGCACAAATCTTTCTCTTCAGTGAACTCAGAGAAATCAGTAGTATAACTATCTTAACTATTTTTTATAAACATATACCTACACATATACATGTTTTTTTCTTTAAGATTCTCACACTAATGAAACAGTACAATGTTTACACATGTGTGTCTTGTTTATTTCACTGAGTATGCTCTCTAATTGCATCTGTTTATAAAACTTTCTTTTTTTTTTTTTTTTTTAATTTTATTTAAGGAGAAAAGGAAAAAAAAAGCAGGGAAAGGGTACAAGTTATACAGATTTACAGAAAAAAAATGAACAGTAGGAAATCACTAGTTAATGGATTACATATTGTCATCTTCGAAATAATTGTTCAAGTCACAAAATTAAAGCTTGTAAAGTGGACATTCCATCAACGATACTGCAAACAGTTCTGTTCATTGATCCAATAAAACTCTGTGATATCATTTTCTATCTTATACACTTAAATATACATGCAGTTATATAGTTTGGAGCACTTTCTTTTCCTCTCTTTTGTACCATGACTATTACACATTTTGGGTTTCATTGCTCCTTTTGTACCATGACTATTACACATTTTGGGTTTCATTGCTCCCACGGTTCTTATTACTTTTTTGGAAGAGAGTAAAACCAAATGTGACATAAAAGAACAGAATCGGTCAAGGCAAAAGGGTGGACATAATAGATAATGTAAAAACATAATACAAGGTGATCAACAATGGTTACTATAATGCCTCCCGCTATCTCTAATAGAATTGCCTATATCGTTAGTTATAATACAATTGAACAAAACAGTAAAGAATAAAACCAACAAAACCAAAACATTGGAGACATTGTAGGTCTTCAAAAGTAGATAAAAGTCAACAAGAATGGGCGTCATAATGAATCTCATTATCTTCACAGCTGATGCCTAAACTTTCGAACCTGATACTATCCAGCAAAACAGAATAGGGGAACATCAGTTAAAAACCAGATGGTGAGAGTAATACAGGGCTTTAAATCAAAGTAATGAAAAGTCAAAGTGGGTTACTATAATATATCCTGCTATTTTTTTCCTTTAATTAAAAGGATAAAGATAAAAAAGTAAATAATGGAGTGGAGATTGAGATAAAAGAGGGCATAACAACGAAACAGCGCAGATCAAAACATAACCATTTAAGCAGAATAGTGTTTCACCACCAGATAATTCTAACCTAAAAGTAGTTACTATATTGTCTTTTTTTGAAATCCTTGAGTACAACTTCGTATACTGTAGCATTAAGTATATCAAAACGATGTAAAACCATTCAAGAGAATGACAGCATTACAGAGTATTTAGAATTGACTAACAGAAAATGAATAATGGTTTCTGTATAATCTCCTTGTCTTTACAAGGTTTTTGCTTATACTATCGTACATAATAAAATCCAGTAAGATACAACCTATTTAGACCATTGGAGACAGAAGGACAAAAGCTAGATGAGACTTCAAAACAAGATGATACTAAATCAGTATTACCTATTAAGATGTCATTTTCTCCAAAATAGCTATTCCTATCATCCAATCTTCTCTGCCTCATTTCTGTTGAGCTCTTTTTCTGTCAGTAGCTGTCAGTTTGTCTTCTTCATTTTGTTCTCTGCTCCATTCGTTGTGGCCTCCCTGCCATTATTTCTGGATTCTTTGTATTTTTCTTTTTTTAGAATATCCTGCAATACTCTCTGTAGAGTTGAATTGGTGGTTGCAAATTCCCCCAGTTCCTCTTTATCCTGGAAGCACCTTGTTTTTCCATCAATTTCCAGGGACAGTTGTGCAGGATATCTCAATCTTGGCTGGAGATTATTATCTTTCAAAGCTTGAATTATTTCCCCCCATGCTCTTCGTGATTTGATGGTTTGTGCCGAGAAATCTGCTGTAATTCTGATGGGTGTTCCCTTGTAAGTGGTCTGTTTCTTGTTTCTGACAGCTTTTAATATTCTGTTCTTGTATTGAATTTCTGGAATTTTTATTATTATATGCCTGGGTGTTGGTCTGTTTGGGTTGTAGGTAGCTGGGGTCCTGTATGCCTCATACATCTGAGTATCTTTACCTTTTGCTAAATTAGGAAAATTCTCCTGGATTATTTCTGTGAGTAGCTTTTGTAGTTCACTTGTTTGTGTCCCTACTTCTTCTTTTATGTTCTTAATCCTTAAGTTATGGATCCTCTTATCATCTTCTTGTCTTTGTATTATTGCTGTTTGTTTCTTTGTTATTTTTAAGAAGTTTTTCATTTCATTCTCCCATATTACAAGTCTGCCCTCCAGTTCAGATAGTCTGTCCTTAGTTTCTTTCAAGCTGTTATGCCAGTCTTCTATAGACTTCTTAGTATCTTGGTAGTCCCTTTGAACCTGCTTCACGTATTCTATGGTTTCTCTGTTTTCTCCATCAAACAATTCTCCCCTTTTTTTCTGTTCTTCCATTCCACCGCCTGTTTTTTCTTGGGTGGTACTTAGCATTTCTCTAACTATTCTGTATACTTCTAGCTTCAGGTCGTTGATAACTTCATTCCTGAATTGGTCTATGAGGCTCTCTATATGGTGCCTTATGTATATTGGTGCGGTGTCTGCTATTGCCTGTTTCTCAGAATTGGGGGCCGAGGAGCCT